GGGCAGGTTGGTGGAACAGTGTATTTCGTGCCCCCAGGAATCCTTCTTTCCACTTCATGAGCCAGCCCCAAAGCATGATGGGATACACAGTGGAAATATTTGCACATTGTTTACATAATATTTGTGTCTATTTCCTCACACAATGAGCAGCGTGTTTTAAAACATAAACTCAAATTATGGACTTTTTTAATTTACAGTGGCCACAATGCTTCCGCAAGTTATAAACAGTGAGCAATACCATTGTATATTTCTCACTGAAATGTGGCATTTTTGTTATAATAACCACATGTAAACTCAGAGCCATCAAATCAGCACTGTGATTTCATGTTCACACAGTGTAAACAATGAACAATATACCAAGTCTTGATTAATTCTGTATTTTTCCCACGAAAATGCTAAACTGCTGATATATTTTGGGCGGAATCCATGAAAAGTGATTTCTAAGTCATTAAACTCCACCTGAACGTGCCTACATACTATATGTATGCTCATTACTATTTCCACTCTGTCTCTGTCTCTGTCTCGTAGCGTTCAGGTACAACGACCTGGTCTCCCCCCACTTCCTGGATGTGATCGCCAACCTGTCGGGCTGCACGGCGCACCGGCGCTTCAACAACTGCTCGGACATCTGCTTCCACCAGAAGTACCGCAGCCACGACGGCACCTGCAACAACCTGCAACACCCCATGTGGGGCGCCTCCCTCACCGCCTTCGAGCGGCTGCTCAAGTCGGTGTACGACAACGGCTTCAACCTCCCGCGCGGCGCCAGCGAGCGCCCGCACAACGGCTACCGGCTGCCGCTGCCCCGGCTGGTGTCCACCGCCATGATCGGCACGGAGACGGTCACGCCCGACGACCGCTACACCCACATGCTGATGCAGTGGGGCCAGTTCCTGGACCACGACCTGGACGCCACGGTGTCGGCCCTCAGCCAGTCGCGCTTCTCCGACGGCCAGCTGTGCACGACGGTGTGCACCGACGACCCGCCCTGCTTCCCCATCCGCTTCCCCGCCAACGACCAGCGGCAGCAGCGCAGCGGCGCCCGCTGCATGTTCTTCGTGCGCTCCAGCCCCGTGTGCGGCAGCGGCATGACCTCGCTGCTCATGAACAGCGTGTACCCGCGCGAGCAGATCAACCAGCTCACCGCCTACGTGGACGCCTCCAACGTCTACGGCAACTCCCGCCACGAGTCGGACGAGATCCGCGACCTGGCCAGCCAGCGGGGGCTGCTGCGCCAGGGCATCATCCAGCGGACCGGCAAGCCGCTGCTGCCCTTCGCCACGGGCCAGCGCACCGAGTGCATGCGGGACGAGAACGAGAGCCCCATCCCCTGCTTCCTGGCCGGGGACCACCGGGCCAACGAGCAGCTGGGCCTGACGGCCATGCACACGGTGTGGTTCCGGGAGCACAACCGCATCGCCACCGAGCTGCTGCGGCTCAACCCCCACTGGGACGGGGACACCATCTACCACGAGGCCCGCAAGATCGTGGGCGCCCAGATGCAGCACATCACCTACAGCCACTGGCTGCCCAAGGTAGCGGCGCTCCCTCTCCTGTGTGGTTGTTGAAAGACGATTAATGACATCGCTTTCTATTCTTAGTCGTCTGGAGGAGATGTAATCTGATTCAATCTACAGATTGCCTTGATACTGCAGAATATAATCATGTTGCATGTTAGAGTATTCCAATTAAGTTAGATAAATTCCATTTGAGAAGCCAATAAGGGAAAATACAATTGCAACGATGATGTGGGGCGATGGCGATTGGGACGACAATGTTGACTACAATGACCTCTTCTCTCCACTCGTAGATCCTGGGCGAGGCGGGCATGAAGCAGATGGGCCAGTACGCGGGCTACAACCCCAACGTCAACGCCGGCGTCCTCAACGCCTTCGCCACCGCCGCCTTCCGCTTCGGCCACACGCTCATCAACCCCATCCTGTACCGGCTGGACCAGGACTTCCAGCCCATCCCGCAGGGCCACATCTCCCTGCACCGCGCCTTCTTCTCCCCCTTCCGCATCGTCAACGAGGGGGGCATCGACCCGCTGCTCCGGGGTCTGTTCGGCGTGGCGGGCAAGATGCGCGTGTCCACGCAGTTACTCAACACGGAGCTGACGGAGAGGCTGTTCTCCATGGCGCACACCGTGGCGCTGGACCTGGCCGCCATGAACGTGCAGCGGGGGCGGGACCACGGCATACCGCCGTACAACGATTACCGCACCTTCTGCAACCTGACGTCGGCGCAGACCTTCGAGGACCTGATGAACGAGATCAAGAACCCGACGGTCCGGGAGAAGCTGCAGAGGTACGGGAGATGAGAGGCTTTTCAATGGTGCTATGTCAATGGCTAACTTGTGTTTAATGTTATACATGTGACCTTTATTGGGACAATGTAAAGGTACAATGTTCATGTGGCACACAGATTTATATTCATCATGACAAAATCCTAGTTTAATGTTAGCTTAATGCTTGCTATCCGGTGTAAACTGGTTCTGGGATGTTTAGTATGAGAACGAGTTCCAACGTTTCCATGGAGAGCAAAAAAAAAGCTGATACGACGCAAAGCTAAGTTCGCTGTTTTTAGCCGATTCTACACGCACGCGAGCTCTGTGTTCGTCAATCGACTTATCGAGCCTCAAAAAAAAACATGGCGTTGACGGGTGAACTACTGAAGGTATTGTGTGTATAAAATATGCGTTTTAATAAACTATCTGTACACTTACGAAGTTGTCAATGCCTCGTTTTATATGTTAAGGCCCTCATTACACTACCAAAGAAGTGTCAGGCTATTTCTAGCCTTGTAAGTGCTTTAAAAAAGCGATTTATTTTTTACCAGGTGAGATGCCCTTAGCACTCAAACGTATTTAGCAGTTTGGTAGAATCGGCTAAAAACAGCGAACTTAGCTTTGCGTCGTATCGGCTTTTTTTTTGCTCTCCATGGAACGTTGGAACTCGTTCTCATACTAAACATCCCAGAACCAGTTTACACCGGAGTTAAAATGACCTTTCAGTTAAGTGTTGCAGATTTGTATACCCACTGCTATTATTGCTTAATAACTCAAAGCTATCATTAGGATGGCATTAAGCTAAGATGAGCTTTCAGTTAGGTGTTGCAGATTTGTATACATGCCATAGTCATATGAGGTCATACCACCCACCATCATCACTGCTCTTCTCTGTCTCCAGGTTATACGGCACCCCTCTGAACATAGACCTGTTCCCAGCGCTAATGGCGGAGGACCTGGTTCCAGGCAGCCGGCTGGGGCCCACCCTCATGTGCCTGCTGTCGGCCCAGTTCAAACGGCTGAGAGATGGTGACAGGTCAGTTGGTAACACACACAACCACTAAGCCGTTCCCTAACCTCATACAATGCATCCAGAGAATAGGCACAAAATACTTTACCCTATTTCTGCCTTCTTTATGGTTAATTGGTTTTACTTTTGTGTTGCTTTAAACCAGCTACGTTTTTGTATTTTTTTTGTCATAAAGATGTCACCTTTAAGTGTGAAAAATTATTATAATTAATTTAGATATTACTATTACATTTGTATTATTATTATTATTATTATTATTATTATTATTATTATTATTATTATTATTATTATTATTATCATCAAACAAATTAGAGCATTGCATTAACACTGCCAGTGGTCGCCAGTGATATATAAAATACATCGACTTCCCTATAACCCTGTGTTTTCCCACCAGGTTCTGGTACGAGAACCCGGGTGTGTTCTCGCCGGCCCAGCTGACCCAGCTGAAGCAGGCGTCGCTGACCCGCGTGCTGTGCGACAACGGTGACAACATCACGCGCGTCCAGCAGGACGTGTTCTCCGTGGCCGAGCTGCCCCATGGCTACGGCAGCTGTGACGACGTGCCCAAGATCGACCTGCGCATGTGGCAGGACTGCTGCGAAGGTACGAGGCCTGGGGGTGTACTGGGGCTGGGGGGGGGGGGGGTGGAAAACTGCAAACGAAATCTGAGTGGTCCATTATGGTCGGGTTGAAACCATTTTTTCTACCTGCCTTTTTTTGTAATTTTTCTATCTATATATCAATCTTTCTCCTCTCACTTTTTTTCTCACTTTTATACAGAAAGCCATTGCAAATACTCAACTAAAAAGGTGTATTCCTTCTGATAATCTTGGAAATCTATTTTCAAGGTATTTCGCATGGTCCATGCAAAATACCTTGAAAACCACACCAATGAGGGCCAGCTCCTGATGTATTGTACGTACCTGCATAAGGGTCTGCGTTGTGTTTTGGAGATTCTGTGGCGTCGCTATGGATCATCATGTACACGTACAGATCACTGGGATAGTGAAATGAATGTAGTCATCAGCATGAATCTAGTCACAACCTAAACGGATTATATGATTATATGATATATGATGCTGATTATATGATCATACGTTTGGAAGCAATGGGTTTGATTGTGGTGGCTATGCTAACAAACCACACAGATATCTAATCTATAGCATTGATCTGGCATGCACAAGCTATTAAATACTGGGCCGATGACACATAGCTGCTTATTATATATATTTAATGGAAAAATAGATCACAAGACAATAGTTATGCTCTACTATGGTACATACTGTTCAGTACATGGTAATTAGGAATGAGTTCAAGCAGTCTAGAGTTTGTAAAACAGGGACAACATATTAGGTGCTCGTGTTTTTGCTGCGTTTTATTATTCCCATCAAAACCACAAGGTCTGTGAGGTTAATTCATCTCACCAGACACTTTTCACTCGTAAGTGTTGTGGGACATAAGAGCTAAGAGCTATAACATAGCTCTTAGCCACTCACTGTAAAGCACACACATTTTCCAATGCGTTTGCTTTCTCTTACAGGATCATTGCTAATTCTTTGGCCCATTACTGAACTATTTGGCTCCTGAAAATCAAGTATTGTGGAGGCCCCAAACGGATCATTACCACCCAAGGTTATTACCTCCTAGCGAGGAGTTAAGCTGGTGTGTGTGTTTTGAACGGTGGGCCTGTCTGGCTCAACTGGTAGAGCATGGCATTAGTATTAGCCAGGGTTAGGGGTTCAATTCTCACTGGGGCCACCCATGCTGCGAATGTATGCACTCATGGTATTGTAGGACGCTTTGGATACCAAAAAAAGCCTCCACCAAATGGCATAGTATATTTCATGGAGGATACCGGGGCCTGTTACCTCTAAAATATGCATTAATGTTTGTATCAAGAATGATGACATGTATAAATGTAGTCATGACGATAAGATGCCCGATAATAAGTTGAGTCATAACCCGAACTGATAACTCTTTGAAAGGGGTGGAGCAACAACAACATGTTGAAAGAGATGTAGGCCACACCCACTTACATCTGGACGTGGTTTAGTTTCATGTGTCCAATCGGGGGGGGGGGGGGGGTTGCTGAGCATGAAATAGAGCCTGGGCTGTCAGGATGATGTGGTGATCGCGGGAGAGGGGTCAGAAATGTGTCTCAGTTACAAAGCTCAAAGCGTTTGTCTGGAAATCGGTAATGGGAGAGTGTTATGTTTAGTTTGTTTTACATCTTTCTGTTTTTGTAACTTACCATCGCGATGACATACGCTGTGCAATTGACTTCAATGATAGCAATGATGAACTACAACTGATCTACAGCAGTGTACCGGGCTCCTATTTTATCGCAGTCGTATAATTATTGGTTCGCGTACTTTAACAGACTCGACTGAGGCTTCTCCGTGGGGCGCTCTGTTGCACTACTATCACCGCCACGCCGGATTTATTATTCTGGGATAGACCAGGAAGCAGTTTTAATAACCGCCACGTGACGCCTCACAGCTTGTACTCCTTTTATCCACGGCACTGACCTCCATGTTCACCCATTTCAAAGGAATAACGATGGACGAGCTACGCTAATAAACACTGCATATCCTGCCAGACAACAGAGAGAGAGAGAGTTGAGAGCGGAGTTTGTCTCACTGTCGGTGTCAGACGGCAAGTCTGTCCCTGGCGGGCCTAATCTAATATCTTTGGCTCATTAACAATAGAGAGAGACAGAGATAAAGAAAGCAAGTGTGTGTGTGTGTGTGTGTGTGTGTGTGTGTGTGTGTGTGTGTGTGTGTGTGTGTGTGTGTGTGTGTGTGTGTGTGTGTGTGTGTGTGTGTGTGTGTGTGCGTGCGTGCGTGCGCGCATTAGTGTTCGTGTTCGTGTGTGCTCATGCATCTCCATCAGCATGCGGTCGGAGGCCATGTTGTCATCAGATGTTCTGCGTCTGATGTGAGGCCCATCAGCCTCCCACAGCGACTGCCTGCTGTGGCCCACCCTGTAGGAGGCCACAGTAATCTTACCTAGACAGACTTCCTCACGCAAGGTCCGGGGAGATTCAAGCATAAAAGCCAGATAGGATTTTAGAAACAGAAAACGGGATGGAAATGCAGTGGGCAACAGCCAATGAAATTATTGAGCGCAGCGTTTACACTCGAAACGTAACAATTCTGTTGCAGAAGGCGGGAGTTTTGCAAACTCACAGACAAGTGAATGGCTGCCTGCCTCAGAATTTCTGAGGTCATATTTCTGGTGGTTCTACTGTTCGTCAGTACATCCTGTATTTATCTAGCTTCTGTGTGTGTGTGTTTGTGCATGAACAGGACACAATGAAAATCCACACACACACACATGAAGTCATTCTCTTGCTTACGTGTTTGTCCTTTACAGAACAGTGTTGTTTTGTCTCTCATTGTTTGTTTCCCCCTGTAATGCTGTGTACTTGACGCAACCCTTATTGTTTGACCCCAGACTGCCGAACCAAGGGCCAGTTCAACGCCCTGTCTTATCACTTCAGAGGACGCAGGTCAGCTGACCACAGCTACACGGGGGATAAACCAGACCCAAGTGCTCAGGAGACCAGGTGACTCAACAGGGGATGTAATGGGATTCATTCTCACAACCCAAATCTAAATGAAAACAATATGAATCAGCATGCAACCACAAGGTTATAGGAAGGCTTTTTTTAATGCTTCATATAGGATATTGTTTGACCTCTGTATCCTATAATTTGCAAAAGGGGATGAGAATTGAAATTCTAGGGAAAGTCTAGGTTACATATCAAAATGCTTTTTTTCATGGTTTATTATCTATTTCCCTTTAGTCCAAAGGATGGAGCCAGAGAAAATGCTGTGAATGTCACTTTGACCTCCAAGGCCAGCACTGAACCCACAAGCAACGACTTCCAAGACTTTGTCTCCGACATGCAGAAGACGATTACAAGTTTACGCAAACAGGTCTGCTTCACTGGATACGATGTTACTTTTTCACAAGCTGGAATTGCTCAAAAAGATAATGTTTTCTTCCCTTCACAAATACATGTTCAAAAGCAGCCTTGTGAAACCATTAACTACCACGTTTTTGTAACTTGTATGTATATGATTGCGCTATACATTTATGTATTGGTTTATTTTCCTGTCCGTTTTTCCTTTTCTCCTTCCCCGACTCTAGATGTATTTAACGACTTCATTATTCAGTTTACCCCAGTGCTAGCTCTGTCCACTTGTCTGCCTGCCTGCCTGCCTGCCTGCCTGCCTGTCTGCCTGCTATTGTTTCCCCGTTTGCTCCATGAATAACACCAGCTCTGCCTCTTATCTCCATGCAGATTAAAAGACTTGAAGCCCGTCTGAGCAAGACAGACTGCACTGATTCTGAGGGCCGCGACCGAGCAGACGGAGACCGCTGGAAGCAGGAGCCTTGCACCACATGTGAATGCAGAGTAGGTCACTGCAGCCGTGCCCACCCTGTCTCTGTACCGCCACCACCCACTATACACCCATTCACTGGCATGCATATATAACCGAACAAACTCACACACACACCAACACAAGCTTGTACATTGAGTGTTTTCTTGTGCCTGCGTGTGTGTCTTTATGTGACACATGATCCAGTGTGTGTGTTTGTGTGCATGTGTCTTCTGGCCTCTCAGGTTCAGGTCTATTGTGCAATTCTCTGCACTGAATTCTGGCAGAGGTTGACAGTGTTCGCATGCCAAACCTGGCACGTGTTCGGCTGTCAATCATTCCTCTCGGGCTCTCTAGCATTTCTTTCCACCCCTGCCTCTTTCCTTCCTTGCACCTGTCATATTTGGCACCGGCACACACACACTTACACACTCACACACACACACACACACACACTACCTTCAGCTAGATGCTATCGCTCAACACAACGGCTTGCGTCCTGACTTCCTTCCACTTCCAGACTATCCTGTGGTGTCTGTCACATGGGATCTATTTCCCCCTGCAAAGCGTTCAGGATCTAACCAAGTCGTCTATCTTCACCCCCACCCCCACCAGGACGCCCAGGTCACCTGCTTCGTGGAGTCCTGCCCGCCGGTGGCGTGCCAGAAGCCCGTCAAACTAAAGGGCACCTGCTGTCCTGTGTGCCTGGAGAGCGACGCCGCGGCGCCCAAGCAGCGGACGGACAGCCGCCACGCGTAACACACAACCCCTCCCCTCCCAACCCATCCCATCCCATCCCCCCTTCCCCCTCAGGACCCCCCCACCTACCCACCCACCCACACTCCCCCACTGCGGCCGGTCGCCGCAGTGTCCGATACACTCACAATCCCACACACGCATAAAGATGCAGAGAACGAGACTCTCCGAGGCGCGCTCCGCCGCCGCGGCCACCGACTCCCCACCCCCGGTATCAGTGTTTTATATTGTTGTTGTTTTTGTTGTTGTTGCTGTTGTTTTTACACGGAGAGATTTTTTTTGTTTTGTTATTATTATTATTATTTTTATTATTATTGTTGCTTTCTCTGAGACCAGCAGTTCAGCCTGGTGCCTGGTTCGAAACCTCCCGGCCGCCGCCGCCTCCTCCGCTGGCGATTTGAAACGGACTGCGATCCCCGAAGGGAGCGATGGTCGGATGGATGCGACGCAGAACGGACAGAGCCGCTCTCTCTCCTCCTTTTTGCGGGTGGCCTGCTTCCTCGCGCCGCCGTGTCGTCCGCTATACCTGTGCGGCGAACGCACGGCGGAAAGAGAAAGAAAGTTTTCAAAAGCAGACGTACACGCGGCGCACGAGGAGGAAAGGGAAGTAGAGCGGGGAAGCCGGCGGCCACTTTGTTGTCTCACAAATACTTTCTCAGGTTAGAGATACCGAAAAAGAAGCTTGGTGCTATTTTCCTTCCTCTTTAACAAATGATTTAGTCACTGAGGACAAACCTTTAAAGTATTGTTTTTTTCTCTCTTGTTTGTTCTGTTTTTCTTCTTAACAGTATGCAAAGAAACGTATATACACATATTATATGCTCTTTATGGTAAACCACAATTAAGAGTCTTTTTTTTTTTCATTCACAACTAAAGACCTTTTGTAATTCCAATTCAACTTAAATCTGAGGTGCTTTTACATAGTTTTATAATTGTGTATTTTTCTTCTCCCTTTTTGATAAAAAAACCATACCTTTACATATGAAGATAATGTGAAGCCCTAAAAAACGTTTGTAATTAAACAAAAATGTCTACTGAATAGAATTGCCTCTCACCACCGCGGACAGCTTGTTGGTTCATATACATCTGGGATTTCTGTATTTGCTGGCCTGTCCCTGAACTTGACTAATAAGGTATTGCCATATGGCACCGCCCCCCCCAATCCACACAAGCTTCTTGCTATGTTGGTGTGCTAACCTTTTATCACTCTGCCTTCAAAAGGCAGTTGAAGATAGCAACATATGTTTCACGCTGATATTATCGTGTACTTTCCCCCATTGCGTTTTCTACTTTTTTCTACGCAACTTCTTGATAACGTAAAAAATAATAATTGATAATGGCGTGTGTGTACTTTTTTTATTTTTGATCAATGGAAATATTTGAATGTTGTAACAGAAGTCAGGACTTGCTTAGCCTCAAATGCATGTCTACCCCACCGGTTGTAGTCTCTACTCACGGCCTTGTGTTTTGTGTTGTGTTGCCTCTTAGTCCACAAACGACGCGTAAATAACAAACTGAAGGACTGTTGCTGCAAATGATTGTTACCATTTCCTATGCTCATGTGAACCAGCAGTCCTCCTCAACCCAGTATTTGTGCGGAGACCATTATATGCA